TAGCTCTCAAGAGGGCATTCACCCCTCAGGTTCCCGGAGGGGTCATTGGCATTTGGCGTTAGCTCTTGAGAGCCATATCTTATTTGAATCCTCCTTTGCTAAGATAATATAATGCATTCCTTCTATTAGCTCTTGTGATGAGTTCGTCTTCTTCAGATATGCATTTTCATCAAAAATTAAACTAGATCTAATCATGGCATGAACCTTTGTGGTATGAGGTGTATAGGACTTTTTATGATGCCCTAGCTCTTCTAAGAGATCGAAATAGACATAACGTACAAAAAATGCTGGCTTCTAGTGAGAGATGCGTTTTATAAATGTGCGCAACCACCCTTTTCTTTCCGGCTGTCAAGGTACAAAAATTGCACTGATATGCCCGTCCTCTAGTGCTTACTGTAACTTCAGGTTGGTGTGACATGATGTGTGCTCTTTCTGGAAAATATCAAGGGTTGAATTAAGTCGTACATCCTGGACTTGGGGTACTTTCCCTTCCCTCTAATGACTGAAGAAATTCTTCCTACTGAATCTGTAACTATACTATGAGAAACATGGTCCATGGTTACGTATATTGCTTGACAGTGTCATAAAAAAACTTCTTAGCAATGTTAACATTCACACGGATATTATGAATGTTTGTTGGCATTCGTTATCCAATCGGGCTTAAAAACTCCCTCATAAGGCTCAAGCTTGTCATGGTGTAGTACCCTTGCCCCTTTCATTTCATCAATGAGGACTCGGTAATTAACATCTGTTGTTTTCTTTGATTTCAGGCATGAACAAAAACAAGCTGGCTGTAGTTATGGCGAAACACCTATTTTTTCTTTCTTCATTTAGGCACCAAACCAAGTCTCCAACTTTGTATGTTACAGCTTGAAGATCAAGGTCATTATGGTCTTTACGACGTCGGGCATTGTGTTCCAAGTGTTCACGAGCAATACTATGTGCTAACTGCATCCTATACCGAAGAAGGTTAACATAGTCTCCATAACGGGTGATATCTGCTTTATTACAGTTCCGACTGCCATATGCAATCTCTGTTGGGAGACAAACTTCTCGACCCATCATCAGCATATTTGGAGTAATTCCACTTGACTCATGTGGAGTTGCTCGATAGGCAGCTGCCAAATACCCTAAGTTCCTGTCCCAGTCAAACTGTTAACCTTTCATATATGCTTTCATCATTCATATTAGGGTACTGTTGAATGTTTCTACTTGACAATGACACTGTGGGTTACGTGGTGACGTCCAGGACTGTTTAATCTCCAACAGTCAACACCATTCTCTGAAAACTGAATGATAATGGACAATCATAACGACTAATGACCTCATTCAATGTAACCTCAGCATATTTCCGGGCAGTTTGGTCTGGTATAGGTAAAATGTCCACCCACTTTGAGAAATAGTCTGTCACCAACAGTATGTAATTGTTTTCCCTAGGAGTCATCGGAAGCGGACCCAATACATCGGTCTAAAGGCTCGCCAACGACAATGGTTCCTAGTCCATTCCTGTTTTTAAATGGAGGCTTCATCTGTCCACATGTATGATAACGTAAGAGCCATAAGTTGACATTTTCACGTACCTCAAACCAATAGAAATGTCGGAGTTATTTCCCTTAGTCTTCTTATTCCCTAAGTGACGCCCTAACAAGTTGTTGTGCATGTGCATCATGATATCATCTCGCAACCCATGAGGTACTAACATCTACAGGTAATGTCCTGTTTCATCTTTTTTATGGAATTCTCTACAGAGTACACTCTCCTGAAGAGTAAGACTGTGGAGTATATGCCAATAATGCCTGACTGCTGAATTACACTTAATAATTTGTTCATGCTTGGGTCGAGTGCCATTTTCCACCCATTGGTATATATAGTGGAGATCATCATCATTCTGTTGTAGATGACTAAGGGTTTTTGGAACTGTATGAAGACTGCCATGGTGTTTAAGTTACATTTTCTTTTGTTGCTTCTGGGTTGTTTTTAGCTTGTAGTCACTGCTCTAATCTCCTCGTCAGTGGTAACCAGCAGATTGCTCTGCATTTCAGCTGTCCGGCGTGTACATTTCTTACATAGGCCACATGGTAAGTCAGAGAGCTCAACATGATAACATCGCTATTACTGTGTTTAACTCCTGGTCTATAATGAATGATGAAATCAAATGACGGTAGGTTCTCCAGCCATACGACCCTTTGGTTCTTTCATGCTGAATAGCCATACTAACACCTGATGATCTGTTCGGACAATAACTTTACGACCGAGTAGATATTGTCTGTAGTATTCAACAAAGACTTTTTTACAGCAAGTAGCTCTTTATCTGTCACACAATAGTTTCGTTTAGCACGATTAAGTGTGCGGCTGCCGTAAGCAATCACATGATGCTAATTGTCTTGTTGTTGACTGAGGACCGCCCCAATACCAAAACCGCTAGCATCAGTATCTAGAGTATACATGCCTTCATCACGTGGGTAAACGATGACATCATGACTTGTTAATTTCTCCTTTATGACTTCAAAGCTGTGTTGACAGTTTGAATCCCAGTGAAACTTTCTTTGTCAGCTCTACCAAGGGATGCACAATTTCTGAGAAAGTTTTGACAAACCGCCTGTGATAACTCGCCATCCCTTCACATTTACTGGTGTTTGCCAGTCTAATATTTTCTTAACATTGTCTGGATTAGGTTTGACCCCTCTCTCAGATACCACATGACCATAGGACTTCTTTTTGGAACAATTTGCATTTTCCAGGTTTCAACTTCACCCCTGTATGCGTTGGATTACTTCCTCAACTCTCTTTAAGTGTTCCTCCAACATGGATCCGAAGACAATGATGTCATCCAAATAAATTCAACATGTCAGCCACTGTAGTCCACTAAGTGCAATTTCGATAAATCTTTGGAAAGTTGCAGGTGCGTTGCTATGGCCAAATGGCATAGTTTTGAACTCATACAATCCATACTTGGTAATGAAGGTAGTTTTTGGTATATCTTCCTTATCAGGGATTTGATGATATCGCGCTGTTAGGTCAAAGGTAGAGAAATATTTAGCGCTAGTAAAATATCAAGTCTAGAAAGTCTTAAATGCGTGGTAAAGGAAAAACATCTTTAACTGTGAAATTGTTGACTCTACGATAATCAACGCAAGTCCTCACCCTTCCGGACTTCTTTCTGACAAGACAAGTAGGAGAACTTCATGGAGATGACGATTTCTGGATAACCTTTTGCAAAACCAACTGTTCTATTGCCTTCTTTTCCTCTCCAGCAAAAACTATAGGTACCTTACGCGGTCTCTGCTTAATTGGTGGATTATTCCCAGTATCAATACTATGTTCTACTAGATGAGTCAATCCAATGTCAGTATCATCCCGAGAGAAGCTGTTTGAATATTTATTCAATAAAGCAGTAATAGCTAGACGTTCCTCTTTGTCGAAGTCTATAAGTGCACCCTTAATTACAAGTCTTGAAGATGACATGGTAATTCCACTTGTGGGCCACTTCCGTCCTGTGTGAGCTGTCAAGGGTGGATTAGATTGGGTTCCCTACAAATCATGATTCTCTGTATTCTGATAAATCTTCTGAATCTGCGAAATGTATAATGTGGTCCACTGGTTCAGCCTGACCGATAATTGTATCCTGATTAATGGATATATCTGTTGCCATTGGATTAAGTAGTCTTACTTAAGCTGTGACAATAGTTCTGATATCAACCACGCAAGGAGCAACAGCTATAAGATATCGTTCAGTGAACTGATCGGAATATTCAACAAGAAAATTGCTGTCAGACTCCTCCTCCAATCTATCTACATATGTCTCAATAATAGCCTCTGTATATCCTGGTATAACATAATGATCAGCTGCTTTGACATTCCGGATTCGGCTTGGTGAGGTGATGGATGTACAAGGTATAGTTACTCCCTCTAGAATGCTTTCTCCTGTAGTCAAAAGAATGTCAGCAGGGCCCTCATCATTATCCATCAATAAATCAAATTCCAATAAAACATCATCTGTAATATTCGCTACTACAGCAACACAGTCTAAGACTAATGTGTCTAAGTGGAGAGTGAAATGAGCTTTTCCAAGGCTAATCAAGATCTCATTGTTTGGTCCTTTCTGTCCTTCTGTAGGTTCTAGTCTTGGTCGCTTGTCTTTTGGTATCTTGTAATATATATGTTAAAATATAAGAGTTCTGGTTGCACAAGTATCAGAAGTAAATACAGCTTCTACTCCATCCACCTTTCCTGGTCTGTATAAAACAGAGACTGGTGGTGTTAATTTATCTCCCGTTCTGTTTAGTGTTTCCGATCCGTGTTCAATATGCATGTGAGAACGACGTTTCTTTCCACAATTGTATAGTGAACGCCGACGCAGGCACTGGTTACTTATTTGTTTGAATCCCCTGAGCAACATACAACAGCTAAAACAACAAGTTCTAAAGATGAAATTTTATTACGTTGTAATTTCTGAAAAACATCTTTGATAATGTGATCGACCATGATACTTATTATGCTGGTTTGTTGACGATGATGAATACTATGTGTCGTATGGAGTTTTGGCAATGATTAATTATCCGTTATTTGTCCTTTTAACTTATTTTTTTCTGTGATGAATTCTATCGGTCGTTTGGCATTATACTTCATTGTTTCTATGATCAATTTTATCACTCTTTGGTCATAATACTGCTTTTTGGCAATGAACATTATTCTATCCATTGTCAAAGTTGATTTTGCCATGATAAAACCCATGCCTCGTTCGTCATTTTAAAAATCTTTTATTTCTATTTTTTGCCGTCTCAATAATCGCTGACAAATCGACTACCTATCATCTCTAATACTATTATAATGCCAACCCTCTTTATTAGGCCAACAGTTCCTTGAACATAAGATGAGAGTATTACGATGCTGATAAAAAAGTTATAGGAAAGCATAAGATAAACGAATGATATAGCATTAATTAGGAAACCTCATGCAAGGGCGAAACCCTTTTCACACCTAGCTAAAATGGTTGCGTACTACATTTTGATATCTGCTTCTTCGTAAGCAATATTTGAAACTCCGTTTTCAGTATCTTCCACAGAATCTAGAAGGTCCATTTTTCTCATCTCCTTCTTCGATAAGTGATCTACTATCCCCGCACCAATGGCATCTCCCATGACATTCACCGCTGTCCGAAAACGGTCCCTGTAGGCAGGAAACATAAACAATTAACAAAAGATACCACATTAAGAAATAAATAAATGATTAACGCCAAAGCAATGTCAGTGCGGCATGAAAACCTTCAAGCATCCCTCCCACAATGAAATGTAGGGGGTACAACAACGATTTGAAATATAGTTTACGAACAATAATAATTGGCAGAATTGGATTAAAATGGCAAAATGGTTGGTATTGCCAAGCTGAAAAGTCCTGTTTTGTATACATATATTGGAGAAATAATATTGGTTAAGAAATTTTTAAAACTATAACAGACAATCAATTAAATAAATAAATTCTGAGTTGAAATGGGGTATAATGTCCATAGAACACGGTTAGATCGATATGTAAATCAGCAGGTCGAAGTCACGCACCAAGTTTCAATCTATTGATATAACGGACAGAAATTTGAAAAGTGAAGTACAAAGGGGTCAGAAAAACGCGAGTAATATTTAAGTAATTATCTTTGAACTTTAGGTGAAAAGTTTGGAACTTTTGCAACAAATTCTCGGCGCGAAGGGACATTAATCCGTCTTAAATAGGATTTTTCGACCGGAACTCAAACTCGATCAAAAACTTTGTTGAATGAAACCACAATACACACTGCTTTGTTATGTATATAGCACCTAAGCAAATTGTGAATTTCAAAGGTGAATCTATGTGAACCGTATGGAGTATTTGTGCTACCGAATGGCAAATACACAATATTATTCTTGACAAACACTGTTAGTGTTGGCAAATATATCAATATAATACTTGATTTGATAATTTATTAAAACATTCTTTGAATCACAGTGCACAAATATTAATCAAGGTAAGATAGAGTGCCCAAAATACCCGCTATGACGCTTCAATTTAATGAAAACTTTCAAGTTTACTTAGTAAATTCAAATAACTAAAAACGTCTGAAAGCGAAGAAGATCGAGACCGCAGATTCGTGTCTTTCACCATGTTTGATGTACCCTTAAGTTAAATGACACCTATTATCCTTTGGTCATTCGGATTGGAGAACAAATTGTTTACATAATGAATATCTTGAAAAAAACCGGTTATCATTGTATACACACAGAATATTCACAACTTAATGAATGAATATATATTCTTGGAAACAACGATTGATATATAGTAAAGTTCTGAGGATATTCATATTAACAGTCTTTTATAAAGAAGTACGAAGTTTAGATCCTGCTTTTCTAATGTTAAGGGTACCCCCATATGCATATGGTTTCCCTTCTATATCTATTTAACTTGCCATCTTGAATTGAGGAGAGATATTTGGAGACTTAGTTGCCATACGTCATGCGGTCATACATAAGCGATTTCGCCGAAACTTCTTCACGCACAAATTTGGTTGTCGTATCGTAAACAACGGCCCAAGTTCGCCTGAAGCCTTATATACTTTGTGGCTTATTGGTTAAAAAGCCAATCAAAGAGGAAAACACCACTCGTTGCTAAGTCCAGGTAACTAAACATTCTTAGATATTAATTTTGATGTAGTCCAATTGGGGGTAAGTTTTAAAATGACATTGTGTGCGTAGTGAATAAAGCCTTATTATTGAATAATTACTCCATAGACGTCAAAAGTTTAATGGAAATTTGTATTGGTGATCGTTACATAAAAACGAATTAAAAATGCACATATTTTTAGTTGTTTTGATTGTGTTATAAGTTAATATGAATATTTACACTGTCGTTCTTCCACTATCGCATGATTCTGTCAATTCGTTAGTTTAATGATTGAATCATCAGTAAATTATAAGTCGGTATTTAGAGCTTTACCTTAGATATATTAGCATAACTTACATGTTCTTCTTTAACTACTGAAATGACGTATTTAAATCTCCTTAATAAAAGAAAACGGAGCAGGTCAACGAAGGGGTGGATATTAAAACAAGGAGACAGAGACAAGTCATCTTGATCACCGCTGTGCCGTTGTGAAAGGTCTGTGAGCCTTTGAATCATTTATCCAAGATGATGCCATACGTAGATAAAAGAAGGGTGTGTGTGTGTGTGTGTGTGTGTGTGTGTGTGTGTGTGTGTGTTAGTTGGGGGGGGTGGTATTTAGATGGGAGACCTAGACCACTGGTTTTGGCTAATTTTTTAAAGTGGCACTAAAGTGGAGGGTTTGAGTTCTAAGTGTTGTGTAGTTATGGTAGTTGGATGGAGTATTGTTTTTCAAAAATTCTATTTGAAATCTCCTCTTGTATACAGAAGATGTGACATTATGAGGTCGACAATGATAATGCTAACCACTTATTGGGCAAATCTGCGGCTTTGTTACATACAGATTACACGAAATAAAGTTGAAATATATATGACGAAACTACTTACAATAACCAATCAATAGCAATAATCAAGGTGACGTCATCAGTGGGAAAGCCAACTGCTGTGAGGACTATAACCATGGTAACAAGGCCTGCCTGTGGCACTCCTGCAGCCCCGATAGCGGCAGCAGTGGCAGTGATACTACAAGTAATATAACACACGGGTTTAATATTAGCTACAAATTTGCTTTTCACTCGTGATAATGATTATTGGTACTTTTTTCTGTGAATGATTTTATCGATATCATTACATTTATCTTTCTAATTCGGTCAAAAATCTAAATCAAATTGCTTTCAGTGCTGGTATAGCCTGATTCAATGTTTTTGCGTGTATAAACCCCTACAGGTCGCCAGGTAAAATGTTAATTACATTATATAATTAAAATATGTATTTACCTGACAGTAATTATTCGTCCAATATCCATTTCAAAGCCCCTGATTTGTCCAATGAAAAGTACAGCTACAGCTTCGTATAGAGCCGTTCCGTCCATGTTGATGGTCGCTCCCACGGGGGCTACAAATTTTATTACACGGGGGTCGACGCCGTTATTTTCCTCTAGGTTTTTCATTGTAACAGGAAGTGTAGCAGAGCTATTGGAAGAAACGTATTACATCAAACGATAAGAAGAAGTAGAGAGAGAGAGAAAAAAGGAAAACAAGAAAAGTGAAAAGGAAAAAAGTGTACATACAAGTATAACAAATTTCGATTGATAAAAAAAAAAAAACAAACGAAGCGTTGTATAAAATAAACAACGTTTAACGAAAGACATTAGATCAGTGATGACCACTATAAAATCCTCTTCCTAATGCCAGTAAATCCGTTACCTTATTATATACAAGGGAAACATATTGATATTTGGTATTTGCTACGATCTTGGGTTCTTCAGTAAATTTTCGTCACGTTCAATGTAATGCTGATTATATGTTTTGATTTGTTGGTTCAGTTTAGTGCAAATGTAAAATACGCTCATGATAGCAGCATTTTGATATCAGTGTCTACCTTAGGATTCACTAGAAAATTATCTTGCAGAAGGGCGGCATTATTTTGTTGACTCCTGCGATAAAACGCAGCGGCGGAGGATAAAGACAGGTCTGGATTTAATCTGGGGTTCTGAAATTTTCTCTGGACAGTTTCATGAGGAATTTCTAGTGGTCAGGATTAGGGTTAGGGTAAAAAAATCATTCTTCTAGAAAAAAAGTTCAAGAATTCTTATTCAAATTACGAAAAAATGTAGGTCTCAGCAGTCTTTCGATTTTTTTGGTATTTTGAATTGAAATAATACCATTGTTAATCATTGATTTCTCGTAAGGATGTGATTACCTTGACGACGTTCCAATAGCTGTGACAATGGCTTGAGTGACACCGTATATAAACCTGAAGGGATTTTTTCTAACAATTGTAAAGTAAATCACAGGAAGTGTTATAAAGCCGTGGATTATAAGACCAGCCATAACGGTGATGAAGTAGTACAGAAGCTGTTGGAAAGTTTTTGCTGGATCTTCCATCTCCACAATTTTCGCTGCCACTAGAAATATGATACCTAAGGGAGAGTACCTGTCAAAGGGAACTTAACATGTTAAATGCATCGAAACACTGCATAACGAAAGACTAGCAATAAGAAACAATTTGAAAAATGCTTAAACGGAAACACAAGCTGTATACGTCATTTTTTATCTCTCGGTCTCGTATTTAACTTTCGTCCACTTTTAAATTCGTCGTAAATTGTTTGAAAAAAAAAACAAGAAACAAAGAAACATAAACAATGTTTTAGAGCTGTTTTCGTCCTATTGGCGAAAGGATTAAGTGGGCGAAAGTTTATCTGAGAAGAAATGTTTCAAGTAGATTTAAAATGATTAATGTTTAAGTTGTAATAAATGTAGTATATACCATCAGGAAAAGAAACTTTAAAAGTTCGCACTTGTTTCAAAAAACTAAACACTGAATAAAGATATCGTTCATATCTAATTTTTTTAAGTGTTGACCAGCGTAAGGTAAACATTAAAGCACGTGTAATGGGAAAATTAGCCCATTATATCAATCGCCGTTCTTACCATATAACCAGCTTGATAAGAACCATCGTAGCTTCACATAGAGACTCAAACAAAGCAACTAGGGGCTTTCCTTTACTACCCAGCCGACCGATGATGATACCGAAGAAGATGGAGAAGACAACAATACCAAGAACATTCATCCCTGATTTCATTTCAACCACTGGATCGTAAACAGCTGTATAACATAACATATTATGGAAACAAATATTTATTCAACATACGTTATTGTGTCTATAAACGTTATGTATTATATCGTCGTTATAATAATGGTGGATAAATAGTCACCAGCTCTCGTGTTACGTTTTTTACTGTCGCTACGGACCACCAACAGGTGCTCGAGTTACATGTTCATCTGATGTGACATCAGTGAAAATTGATGATATATTGGCCGCAGACACATTTCTTCCCCACAAGCACAAATGTTATCGTTAACACTGACCGATGACATACAAAACCGTTCACATGTTTCTTTTGTTGGTGTTGTTAGGGATGCCGCCATTTATTTGCCACAAGTCAAACTTTGACCCTGACAGCAAGGTGAACTATTGAAGTCCGTGAACCATTTATAGAGGTGTATTGTGACAACTCTGGTAGAGAATGGTAATATACCTTTGCTCATTCAATATAAAATTTTTCATCGAATATTGAATAATCCTTATTTCTTAATAAAAAAAATAACGATTGAATAATACTTAGTTTTTGTTGAGAAATATTAATTTAAATTAATGACAGTCAATGAGGTCCATTATAGGAATAGAGAACCTTGACAGACTGCATTTCCTATACAGTATTTGTTGAAAGTTATATATATTTTCAGTATTACCACCCAAGAGGTCGATGTTTGGATTTATCTACCGTTTGGTGTGTTGCATAGAAAAAGTATTTTCTCTTGAAACACTCATGTGTATATCTATATCAGTAAGGAAGGGCTAATTGTGGCAATAAAATGGCAACTCAGATCTTGGAAAAGTAACAATATTGCTTTTTCATGTATATGGCACTGACCATGAATTTCTTACAATGCATCATTGCATAATTGTAGAACTGTTGTGACATACCGGTAGCATTAACATTACTTCCGTTGATGTTTTCTTCAACCTTCAGAACTTGCTCAGTAACAGGCTGAAAAGTATCAGAATGATTTTAAACTTAAAAATCTAGGGTAAAAAATGACACTACATATTGTCGTTTTGTCAAAGTTTTCTTTACCATTTTGTCGACAGTCTCATGTTGTGTTTCACTTCATCGATTCTATATATCTCACTTTGCAGAGTTTTGTGTCAGTCACACATTGTAGATTTAATAGTCAGTCTTACAGTATAATATTCTACAGGTATTAAAGCTCTGTTACTTTACGTTTGTGTGTCATTCACACATCAATATATGTGTTATATCTTGCATACTGTAATTCTGTGTGCAAGTCAATCTGGTTTTTTCCCCATTTCTTTAGAGGTATACTATCTGTCACATTGTATAGAGGATATCTAATAGTGTCTCCAGGAATAACAAATATATTTCACGATTTTTATTTATAGTTGGGTATCTTTACGCACGAGTTAAAAATAGAAAACAAAAAAATATTAGACATACGCGAAAGATATATTTACTATTACTGAGGTCACTATTAGATAATCTATTTATTACATTTTCACAAGCAAAATATTCAAATAACTGGCATATTTAGAAAAAATATATAACTAGGAAGCTTACTACGCTTTTCGCGGACACTACTCACTCATTATAACTTCGCAGTACGCGTTAAGATATAGCCCGTTTAAAATTCATTGAAAGTATGTAAACACAAAAATAAAATTCAATATAAAATAATTTTCATATTCACATAGAAAATGTTACTTATTCATGTATCTAAGAGACGAAATTTGCTGTAAAGGGTTCAAAGAGAGTTTAACCTCTGAAAAGTTACCCCGTTAAAATGTCTAACGTGTTAGTTCCACATTGAAGACGTTCGCTTGGGGATTGATTTTGATAAGGTAATCTGCATTGCATTGTTTGCTGACTTTCATGGAAATGAACCTTTATCATGGAATTGAAGGAAGTGTCACAAGTAAACAACCTCTTTAGATGTCTGGTTTTATGTTTGCTGCACCGGGCTTTATGATTTGTCAATTCTATCTTATGATTTTGTTAATTCTTTTCATTGGCGAAAATCTGCAAAACTTTTATCAGTATAATATTTCTCCATATTTTCTGGCAGAAACGTAAAAAAAATATTCATCATTCCTAACATGGTGAAAAATAATCCATCAAAACAAATACACACACTACAAGCTTGACAAAAACTCAATAGCGTTCTGAAAACTGACCCGTTATTGCAAATATACAAACTTCATGCATGCCAATACTTGATGACGCTCTGAAAACTTACCCGTCTAAAAAAACAGGATGAGATACACAAATATTGATGACATCACAAAAATACAAGATGAATTCATTCGGATATATCCACTCTATGTCTTATAACCAGAGTTAGCCTCACGAGCAGCTATTTCCGGTTGGCATAGTAGGCGGTATCCACATGAATGCATCAATAATTTGAGAAGATGCATTTCATTTCTGACCTTTTATGAAAGTATCTATTAAGTTCATACCACTGTACCAACGTTGTTCAACATGCATACATGACAATACATTACAGTTAACTTGTATTTTAACTCTTATATAAATACCATTCAATTATCAAAGCGTATTATGAAACCTGTCTTTATTGACCGGGAGATCTTAATGACATCCCTAAAACCTTAATCGCAAGAGATGTTGAATAGAGGAAAAAATGTAAAATTAATATTTACCTTGCTGAAACATGCTTCTATCAAGTTACTGGGGAACGCCTGCCTGTTGGTATGATAAACAATCAAGGTTTGAATCACTATGAATGTGACGTAGAAAACAAGTTATGGAACTAATCATTGTAATATCACAAAGAAAACCGTTACATGTAAATAAAAACAATATATTCTAAACATCATCTTATCATTATAAGTATTTATATATCATCATTATTTTTATTTGTACATAACTTATGTTTATGTACCATTTATCTTCAAATTTCGGACTCACACACAACATATATACCTGAAAACCCATCAAAATACAAAACTTTGCATCTAGTCAATCAAGTTAAATAACTAAATTAGTATATATAGAATAAATCAATTTTTAAAGCTTTGAATGACCGTAGCGTCAATACAACAACTGAAGAATTACATGCTTTACTTGCCAAAATACACGCTACTGAATCCCAGCGGAAAGACATCTTGCACGTTATGACTCCCAAATTTGTTAACAATGAGTTTGAAAGACCCTCTCTGGGAGTTAGAAGCTTACATTTTGATTCTTTTCTATTATTCTTATTGGTATTTATTATTTTCTGAGTTAAATATTTTACTATGAAACTGGTAAATACCAAATCATTTACAAAACCTTTCCCTGCTTAGCTTATCTTAATCGGTTTTGCGCGAGACACACTCGAGTTTGAATTTTCTGTATAAACTGGATAGTATATAGTAAAGCGAATTATGTTAATGATATAGTTGTTTGTGGTTTGGTCTGTTTTTTTTTATAGTCATGGAGGATATAAATTATTAAAATATGTCATTGTTGTATTTTAAATGAAAGTGTTATATGATTGGATTTTCCATTTATGAATAAGGACTACATACAATGTAATATAGCTAACATTTTTTTTCTAAAATTAAATGAACATCTTGTAAAACTTAATTAAAATTGCAGGGATTTTGTTATAAGATTTGTATTCACATTTGGAATATAATACATTGCTTAGTAAACCTGATTAGATATTGCACTTGGTAAAATACTCACGAATACACACAAAAGAGGCATTCGTGTCGAGTATTGAACCCATTGAAAACGCGGAGGTACATACATGATAGCATTTCATCGTGACTGAGAACCGGACACACTCTATATTGACGTTAAGACGCTATTTGCGAGAAATACGACATGCACGAATATTATAAGTGGGTAATGCATATAAAGTTTTATGAGTGTTAAATCGATAGTGATCTGAGATCAAAACCTTAATGACGGTAATAACACGACTTCGTGGGAAAGCTAAAGCCAAGAGATTATAAATTCGTCGCATCTTCGAAGTGAAACTGAATAACCGAAATGAATGTCTAAAAGAAAAAAGGAAACTTTCCTTATTTCTTACATTTATTATTGATACCGGAGTTTCATTGCCATTTCAATAAATATCTATAAAATATAAGTGAATATTTGTAATGTTTCAACATATTTATTATATAATACTGATACTTTTTAACGTCCGTTTTTCTATCATCTACAAAATACCATTTTGAATAATTTATTTCAAACTTTATTTATCAATTGTCGTATATTGCAATGGTACATACATCTACACAAAGAACAGGCTTCAGAGACAGGTACATAGTACTTATGTAAATCCGTCTTCTTACATTCCTTTCAGTACTAGCAATGGTGCAGAAAACGGGAAAAGAAAAAGGGTGTAAGGGTTTAGATTTAGATGGTAGTGATGATTCATGACTGCATTTCAGGAACATATTCTCTGATTGCAATGTAATTAGATAGTATTAAGTTTACTGGGGGCTGTGCATGTTGAGGTGAATACAGATTCAATCGAACAGGGAAATGAATATGGTCGCTTTACTCTGAGAATGTCTTGTCCAACCCAATTTAATACGACGTCCTAATGTGGGGTCACTGTGATATCACAAAAAATATAGCAACCAGGACATGTGTTGTGTTACACAGGTATTGTGGGCAAGATTGTTACAAGTAACTATAGATTAAGAAGTGCTTAAAGGGAGTGACCTTATTAAAAACGTTCGGATTGACAGAAAAAGTTTTAGACACAATCAAAAATAATTTGATTTTGATGAACCGAGCATTTCTGGAATGCCATGTAATAGTATGTTAATATGATGATTTGGAGAACGACTCCTAAAACACTGGGTTCTGACCTGCTGGAAGGATTTTAGAAGACTGATAGGACTATTGACTAATTTTCGTGTATACAAGTGACTTTTTCATCCTTAATTTCACATGCTAGATCTAACCATGTCTACTACTGCATAAAGGAACAAAACGAGTATCGGCATTTAATGTATTTTTTTTCAGGTCATTAATTTACTAATTGTATTTTATGTTATCGGGATATGTGTTCTGTAGGTCAATACAGAAGGGTAGGAAGGAATCTTTAAATATCAGTTCGACAGCTCCTTTGATTTATAGTGGAATGACGGAATCTCAAGTCGAAATCGTAGGCTCTTCAGGTGTTATAGGAGTGTATATTGGAATGTCGACTGGGTAGTATGTTAGTTAAATAAGAAGGTCACTCACCATGAACAATCTTATAGATTTTATAATATCATGTTGTCACCTTCCCATCCTAATTATAATAATAGTCTGTCGTGACTGCTGAGTTGCCTCAGTGATAATGCTGGATGCTTCAAGTTGTATAATGAACTCTGGCATAAAGTAACGTTGTCCCATACAATAGTACCGTATTCTAACAGGGGTCTTAGAAAAGTAAAATATATTGTTTGAAGGGTCTTTCTGTCACTATTGAATTTAAGAATCCTAAAGAAACTAAGTTTTAATATGTTTTATTAATAATGTATTGGGAATGGCCAGTTTAACTTCCAGTTGTTGAGGGAGTAATACCGAGATTTTGTCATATGTGACTTCCGTAAGCATTAGTGGGTTATAATCAACAAGCATTTCTCTTTTACCATTCATGAATTTTCGTTACATTATCATTCAAAAGGTTGGCGCTCAGAACCGGCGATTCCACTACGACGTATAGTGATATGTCATCGGCAAATAATTTATGGTAAAATTGATGTCTTCAACAATGTCATTTATAAAATAAGATGTCACAAAATATCTTTACCTTTATCAAGTGGAGATCAAAAATATGGTTAAATATGAATGTGCGTTGATTTATGGTGGAATGATGGAATCTGAAGTCAGTCGACTGACAAGAAGTTAGTAGAGATTTATGGATTAGATCGTTGTATTTATACACACATCTTTCCATCATTTCACAACAAATGATAAAAGAGATATAGGACGATAGTTGTTGAAGATGGATGAATCTTCTTCTTGAAACCTTGAGTGACAGCCCTCTTCCATGATGACGTGAAAGTACATGCAGTAAGTGACATATTAAATATAATTTATAGAGGAAAGCTTAACATAGTGACAGCTTCCTAATTCAAACGATATCAGGACCTGCAGCTTTCCTGTTTTTTCTTGTAGAGTTTGGCATGAAGCTGTTTACAATTTTTAGTATTGGTATAAAAGTTGATTTTGTCACAGAGTTTATAAGAATCCCGTTCGCATGTCTGTATTTTCTGAGTAAAGACCAGTCGTTCATTTTATCGGACCGCTTAGCTTTCCATGCAGGTGAGTAATAGTTCTAGTCTTATTAAGTATACATCCTCTGGCCGTCTTAAGTATACTATCAGTAAATAGGTCACTACTGTTGTTTTTGTCATTACTGTCTAAAGTGCTATCCCAGTCATTTTTAGAATATTTGTCTTTGTAACCGTCATATTTACAAGGTAATACAGCCAAATATTAAGTTTTAAACATGAATGAATATGTTTTGATATGTTAAGACTACCGTACACAGGACAATGGTATCCAATAGGCTGATCAAGAAAGCTTTCACCGACATAACAGATGCCAATTAAGGATGGTTCCCTTACACAAACGATGAAGAGAGGAAAATGATTCAGTAATGAAAGTAGAATTGATATCGCTTTAGGTAAGATTGTAAGTAGTTGATAAGTTACGAAGGTAAAGATGGTGGTTACATTACATTACATCATTACATTTTTGCAAGTCAAATATAGAAAAAATATTTCATTAATAAAAGTGTTATGTTTCACTTTCGCAGACATATACCAATGAAAAGAGAGAACACAAATCCTCTTATAAAATTGACAAATCATAAAGCCCGTTACAACAATCACAAAAACCAGAAACCTGAAGGCGTTGTTTACTAGTAACCGGACATTCAATTCCAGTCAGCAAACAATGCAACACGAATTACCTTATCAGACACCAAACCAAATCCCCAACAAACGTCTTGAATGAGGAGCTAACACGTTAGACATTTCAAGAGGTTCGTATCTATTGTCAGCCACATAGTAACTTGTCAAAGGTTAAACTCTCTGAACGTTTTACGACAAAATTTGTCTGTTAGTGACATGATAGGTAACATTTTCTATGTGAATGTGAAATTTACAATAAAAAGTGTTTTTGTGTTAACATATTTTTAATGATTTTTTTAAAGCGGACTATGTTTTGTCGCGTAAGTTATAATGGAGGACTAGAAGCCTAGTCAACTTTTTATATCTGTTCTAAATGTGTCAGTAATTTGATATTTTGCTTGTGAAAATATGCATCGCTCTCGTGAAAGATACTAAAATATTAGACATACTTGTAAATATATTTGTTATTACTGAAGATTATATTAGAAATCCTATGTTTATCAATTAATAGCATTATATATTCCTTTGTTAAAAGCATGTTTGATTGAATGAGAGACGTGATCCAGGAATAAACAGACTCATCATAGGGGCCTATAGCCTTTTTTCCGGATATGTTGACATGTTCATTGCGATGTCACGTGAAATTGAAAATATGAATTTCATATTAGTAATCTGTTTCAGTGGATGACTGACGCAATTTTTCAGTGTATGCACTATTCTCTAGTACTTCTGAGTTGGCTCAACTTTAAATCTGAAGATTAAGTTTTTAAAACTAACAGACGAAAATGGAAACAAGAAGTAGATTGTGAATAACTCATTTATACCTGACTAAAAGAAAAAGGAAATAAGACGAAGCCAAGCTGTGGAGAATGCACTGTGTGTAGTCCTCTTTGAATACATATCTGGAACACTATCTAAACACATACACTTGGGAATGGAGTAGGAAAAACGACGTTCTGTCGTATTAGCAAAATTATGCATAACTACGTCAATGTCACTGTTAACTTTTAAGATCATTATGTCAACAGTGGGTGTAGAAATGATGATTATTCACTGTCAAAATGTCTCTTTCACCATCAGTGGTATACCAATTAGCATGGAAACCATGATTATATTCATATTTCCAAAGCATGCCTCATTGAATTCTTTACAGTATTGGTGTTATCCTGTGAAAGTACACTCACTCACTCACTTCTTCGGAAAACTATTAACATTACGAGGGTTACATACTTCCCTGTATGTAAAATTCACATCAAAATTTAAAAAAAGAGTGACAATGTGCTATACAATGATTGATTATCGATTATTCGATTGGTTATCTTGAGCTATGAAACATGTCGTTCAGATTTTGTTCACTGGATTATGTACCTGTGTAAATTTCAAGCTTTTTTTGTATCAGTATTACAGGTGGACATGGATAGTGTTTATCACTGTTTTACCCAACAATAATACCATGATTATATACAACATACTCGTAGAAAATTTATAACAAGAAATTTTTTTCTCATCATTAATTAATTTAACGATAAAAGGTACGTAAAATCAATAATGAGATAAGTCAGTTTGTACAATATATATACATAGTGCATTTGCTTTGTAATCAGTAACTGGCCTGTCTTTTCATAAATTATGTACACGGAGTCAAAATAACATTAAATTCAACCGGGACGCAGGTCTCGCGGGATTGTTGAGACCGCACTCAATGCCATTCAGTGTTTTTTTTTTTTAATTTTTGTTCCAGCAGGAACAATTTATTGTCTTCAGTGTCAATGATTGAATAAGCATGTGTTGTGCGAGTGTTATTAAGCCTCACCTTGGTAAATGTAAACAATGTATCTTTATTTTGCTAGAGGTTTCGTTGTACAGTGCTTTTTTACTTCCCGTCATTCTAGTTTTAAAGAATTTTTTTTATTTTTACAAAAAATTCGAAACAAGGGATCTTACTTTGGGTGAATAAAGGAAAATTTATGTGGCCGGGAAGGCGAACCTATACCTTTTCAAGTTCATTCCGGGAATCAAAAACCCGGATTTGTGTTAATCGATACATACATGTTAGAATTATGCCTACCAGGGTTCTCAGTTACAAGTATAGTTCATACTGTTCAATAATTTTAAATATTATTCATGTTATATATCGAAATATTTATTTCTTATTCTAATACATTTTTTTCAAGTTTTATTTCAAAACATGAAAGGGCACGTGATTTAAGAAAATAAATGATAGCCAATCTAGCTAAAGTTCAACATTTATTCAGGTGACTAATTCAGTGCTTGGGAATACCTTATAATACGCACCTCAGAAGCTATTCAATGCGGTAATATACCCATTTAAGATTTTTAGAATTTGTCTTTAACCTTTTGGTTTGTTTAATGTTTGGATCACTGTGTGTTTTACTGGTTCATGGCCCTAATGACCTTCTATGTGTTGACAGGCCCTTAAGAATGTCATAATAATAATAAACTTCAATGCGAAGACGTCACATATAGACATGATAAGTAATATTCTAAAACTTACATACAAAGCTTTATATGTGATGGCACATATATAAATCAGATATGTGTTTAAACCTACCGTAGCAGATCGAGAAAGGTATCTGCAGGTTCAACGATCTTGGATTCGCCAGAAGGTTCGACATCCCCTCCTTTAGTGCCTGGTTGGATAGCGACGGTCAGTATGATACCAAGAACCACAGCAGCAAGAGTAGTGGTCAAGTAATACACTACTGCCCTCAGGCCAATCCTGCCAGATGACCGTGTGTCCAGTGAAGCCAGCCCGGACACCAGACTGGACACAATTAGCGGAAGAATCAACATTTGAAGCATGTTCATTAATAAATCGCCAGGGAAACGGAGATACATTATCTGTCTTTTGGTAAAAGGAGGGTCGACATAACGGAGCCCTGCTCCAAGGCCAATACCGATTCCCATGGAAATAATAAGAAAAATTAACAATAAGTTGTTTTTAATTGTCCTTTTTACAGCTTCCATTTTCGAGTTTTTGCTGACGGTAGGGTCAACTTCCGGTTCCAGTTCAGGTATTCCAATAGTTTGACTTGAACCATAACTTTTCCATCCGGTTTTATCTCTGGTAGCGTTTGGTTCTTCCATATTTTTGTGTTGTTTATAAATCCCAACTCACAAAACAACACACATTTGCTTGTGAAGTGTGTAAGATTTTTCAAAGATCCAGATAATTTTTTCTCAATAACAACTATATATTAAACATGCAATATCTACAGTCCTTAAGTGTAGCTTAGTGCACGTATTGTTCACAGATTCATCTGATAAGACGACTATAGATCCCAAATATTGCTTAAGGTATCTCGTGAAGTTGTATAAATACTGTTCGAAATCCCGTCACACAAATCAGTATCCTTTGACTCCTATATATATATATCTCACATGCCAAATCACGACAGACCTCATGAATAATTTATGAGGAAATGTTCCATACCTACAAGTATTACTAAACAACCGGCGATTAAGTAAACATTAAAGTAAAGAGAGTGTGTATATCTGCGTGTCCGGCTATATAAAGTAGAGTTCGCCTGCGAACGCGCCGAGATGTAGTCTGGCTGTATATAGTTAGTCTTCGAAAGCGCAGATATAAGCCTTCGAACGCGTCGAAATATAACTGTTGAATGCACTCCTTACAAGTATGACGCACCTAGATAGTGTATTCTGAGAATACCCACTCTACGCATCCTTTCCATGTAAATGTTATAATTAACAACACAACAGTGATACTACATGTATGTAAATTTCACTGATAACAAAGATATCACAGTACTTAGATCGTGATGACTCCCTTCTGATAAACAGCCGAGCACAATCGACAGTCTGAACAACTGTGTTGATTTTTAATCAGAATGATATTTATAGTGTAAACACACTCTAAACACGTTCATATATTACGTACTGTAATAGTCTATTATAGGGTATCAAATTTCGTAAACACAATATTTTTTTAAATAATGTCTATATCATACATCTAATAAGACATTTTAATTTGTACAAGTATTTCTACCACTCCTTGCTGATATCAAAATATTTTCATATTTGTTTCGATTCAATATGATAGGGAGGAAAAATAAAGGGTGTTATCAATATTCCTTTTTGTAATATTTCATTTGAGGCGAAAGTGTCATTCCAAACACTCAGAAGGTTGTAAAATCGTCAAAATGTCAAATCAAAAACGTACCTATTAAACAATCACCTTCATACACGTCACCACTTTCACATCTACATTGTACAACAGCTCTATACAAAGTTTATCTACGTTACATAAAATGATGAGTCGCTGTTTACTTTTTAGGATATTCCCGATACCCGTAGTGACGAGGCATTGTTTACTTTTTAGGATTTTCCCGATACCCGTAGTGACGAGGCATTGTTTACTTTTTAGGATATTTACGATACCCGTAGTGACGAGGCATTGTTTACTTTGGAGCATGCTCACGATACATATGGTGACGAGACATAATTTACTTTTTAGGATATTTACGATACCCAAAGTCACGAGGCATTGTTAACTTTTAAGATATTTACGATACCTGTAGTGACTAGGCATTGTTTACTTTTCAGGATATTTACGATACCCGTAGTGACGAGGTATTGCTTAATTTTTAGGTTATTTACGATATCTATTGTAACGAGGCATTGTTTATTTTTTAGGTTATTTACGATACCTATGGTGACGAGGCATTGTTTACTTTTTAGGATATTTACGATACCCGTAGTGACGAGTCATTGTTAATTATATTGAGTAACTACGGTAAATATAGCGACTAGTAACTAAGTATCATATCTACGGTACTTGTAGTGACAAGTCACAGGAAATGAATAGCCCTTATATACTGTGTAGGGTATATACGGTAAATGAATTTTACTGTAACGTATATCAAGTGACGAGTTCCTTCCAGTTCACTCTTTAGGGTATAAACGGTATATGCAGTGACTGATCGCTGGTTACTGTGCAGGGTACAAACGGTACATGTAGTGAAGCGTCCGTGTTTACTTAGTAGGATATCTACGGTATAAGACTTGCCTATCTCCAACCAAGAATATCACCCCTCGGGTTGGAGATTTCTCTGTCACATCCCCAAGATAGGGCAAGATTCTATTAATCTCCTGTTTACTGCGTAAGGTATACACGGTACATGCAATGACTGGCTCCTGTTTGCTGTGCAGGATATTTACGGTACATAAAGCGACGAGACTCTACCTGTTTACATCATCATCAAACTATATTTCCTACTTCAAGATATATTATAATACAAGAAATCGACTTAATAGACAGAAATGTTTTATGTCGAGCACGTGAAATGTCTCTGTACATTCATTGAGCTTCAGTAATCTAAACGGACGTTTGAAAGAGAGCACCTGGCGCTGACAACATAAAGCACAGCCTTCATGAAGAAAAGTTTCGATACGGAGACATCCTGGAACTGGAAACCCGATATTTCACCAAACAATGTATGGGGACATACTATCCTCTGGTCTTTACATTTCTCGCAAAATATTTCTCTCCGTATTAGTGTATACTACAGCATTCTTGTTACTTATTTTAGAAGAGCGTGAAAGATATTTTCCATAGTATATGTGTAGAATAGTAGGTAATGTTTACTGTGTAGGGTATATACGTCACATGTACAAGCCCATGTTTAATGTGTAGGGTATATACGTCACATGTACAAGCCTGTGTTTAATGTGTAGGGTATATACATCACATGTACAAGTCCATGTTTAATGTGTAGGATATATACGTCACATGTACACGTTAATGTTTACTCTGTAGGGTATATACATCACATGTACAAGTCCATGTGTAAGTTGTAGGATATATACGTCACATGTACAAATCCATGTGTACTGTGTAGGGTATATACGGCACATGTACACACCCATGTTTACTGTGTAGGGTATATACGTCACATGTACAAGTATATGTTTACTCTGTAGGGTATATACGTCACATGTACAAGTCCATGCTTAATGTGTAGCGCATCTACATCACATGTATAAGCCAATGTTTAAGGTGTTAGGTATATACGTCACTTTTACAAGTCCATCTTTAATGTGCAGGGTATATACGTCACATCTACAAGCCCATGTTTAATGTGTATGATATATACAACATATGTACAAGTCCATGTTTAATGTGTAGCGCATATACATCACATGCATAAGCCTATGTTTAAGGTGTTAGGTATATACGTCACTTTTACAAGTCCATCTTTAATGTGCAGGGTATATACGTCACTTTTAAAAGTCCATGTTGCATGTGTAGGGTATATACGTCACATGTACAAGTCCATGTTTAATGTGTAGGGTATATACATCACATGTACAAGTCCATGTTTAATATGTAGGGTATATACATCACATGTACAAGTCCATGTGTAAGTTGTAGGATATATACGTCACATGTACAAGCCCATGTTTAATTTGTAGGGTGTATACGTCACATGTACAAGCCTATGTTTAATGTGTTAGGTATATACAATACTTTTACAAGTGCATGTTTAATGTGTATTGTATATACGTCACATGTACAAGTACATGTTTACTCTGTAGGGTATATACATTACATGTACAAGTCCATGTTTACTGTGTAGGGTATATACGTCACATTTACAAGTACATGTTTACTCTGTAGGGTATATACGTCACACCTATAAGCCTATGTTTAATGTGTTAGGTATATACAATACTTTTACAAGTCCATGTTTAATGTGTAGGGCATATACGTCACATGTACAAGTCCATGTTTAATGTGTAGGGCATATACGTCACATGTACAAGTCCATGTTTAATGTGTAGGGTATATACATCACATGTATAAGCCTATGTTTAATGTGTTAGGTATATACAATACTTTTACAAGTCCATGTTTAATGTGTAGGGCATATACGTCACATGTACAAGTCCATGTTTAATGTGTAGGGTATATACGTTACATTTACAAGCCTGTGTTTAATGTGTAAGGTATATACCTCACTTTTAGAAGCCTGTGTTTAATGTGTAGGGTATATACATCACAATTACAAGTCCATGTTTAATGTGTATGGTATATAACTTACATTTAGAAGCCTGTGTTTAATGTGTAGGTTATATACATTATACATACAAGCCCATTTTAAATGTGTAAGGTATATACATCACATGTACAAGCCCATGCTTAATGTGTAGGGTATATACATCACATTGACAAGCCTGTGTTTAATGTGTAGGGTATATACATCTCATGTACAGGTCGATGTTTAATGTGTAGGATATATACATCATATGTAAAAGCCCATGTTTAATGTGTTAGGTATATACATCATATATATGATAAATTTTGAGGCTGATCAGAAAAGACATCAGCAGGATTTCGTTGAATTTAACAACTTCATTTTGTGATAGGTATTTCTTGAGAAATACTGGATAGATATTGTTTTAGAAAAAATGTAGATTTTCCTTGGTCACTTGTAGGCCCTTAAGATGTTGAAGGTGTTCAGGAAAGGAAGGAAAAATACAAATAAAGATAGATATCATAGATTTACGGATTGATGCCATTAAAATCAAATTAAAAGATGGTACAAAAATTGCTGAACAAAATGTTAATCAAAGGAATAGCCGGGAGTAATCAAACTAATTTAGAACCAACTTATATTAATACAATAATGGACGCCATTACACCTCTCCTTGTAAAATAAATCATCAAAATTTTGCATCGGTATCGATGTATTACATTCATTATTCGTCTACGTTGTTATAATTACTAGTTATTAGGAGGCGACGATTCGCTTACCTCCCTTTACCTGCTTGAGACATCAGTGACAAACTCATCAAAACTAAAGGCATAGCGAAAGATCTTAGACAATGCAGTCACCGGTGTCAGCGTGACGTCACATGTCGCTTCTTCTCCAAAAGCGACACCTCCAATCAGTACAAATTGTACAATGTCAGCAAATGCATCCAGCCAAAGCCAGAAGGCAAACACGTGATTTCGGCAAGTTCAAAGGATTTCTACTACTTTAAGATAGGGAGAGTGGATCAACAGCTGAATGCAGTTTATTACACAAAGTCTAGTGAATTCAAATAGAATAAATCTGAGTTTCAGG